TTGAAGTAAAATTGATTCGCAATCACTTGAGGCAGCGTGAGATACATTCCAATGAATACTATTTTTCCAAGCTTTTTGTACCTAAACAGAAGCAGCGGGTACTCTTGGAGCTATCAAATTTTTTAATGCTTTTAGCAAGTTTTTAGCTTTTGAGTCCCAAACTTTGGAATGCAAATAAGTATTTATACAACAAATCGCTTGGTAGCACTTTTTTCCTCTTCATTTCTAGTTGCCGGTTCTTTTATACATAAAACAATTTATCAAAGAGGTTTTGAAACCAACAGTTGGCAATCCTGTCGGCGACAAGAGGATGCACAAAATAATAGCTATTTTGAACCCTGCATGGCCGGTTCCGTGTGCGCATGCATTTCGGCACGAACGCGTAGCACACTAAAAGAAGACACCCAAAGACGTTCTAAGAGGGTGTGTGGCATGACGTGTACACACCAGACAAAACGGCTAGCGCGGAGCAAATGTTTTCGGTAGAATAAATACACCGAAGGTTAATAGGTTAGTCATACTTGACCGTGACAAGCACTCAATAACTTTTACTTCATACCCTTTGAGTTTCAAAACAAAAATAACTCGGTCAAAGCGTATTGAGAGGTCCTAAATACAAGCATCGCTCGTGTCAGTGGTGTTAGATCAGGTAAGGTGGCCTTTATATGCATACCTGAGGTGCTGTCCTGCTCTTGGCAGCGTTGAGAAACTTGGAATGCTACCGGCAGAAACTTGGGAAAGCAAAAAAATAAAGACTGTATATATGTATCATATGATGTAAGAATTAAATTGAACTTGTTATCCGTGAGAACAAGTTATGTAGCTGGGCTAGTTAGTGGCGCATGCTTGCCAGGGGAGGACGCAGGTATTTCCAGAGCGGAAGCAGGGGGTGGCGGGGGGGGAAAGAAGTTCAGGTGTCGCTCGGCATATCCCCCATGTCTAACTCTCAACCTCTCCCTCCTTCCCTCCCTCTCTCTCTCCCTCCCTTCCCTTCCTTCCCTCCCCCCCCCTCCCCCTTCCCCCATTTCCATGCCCTAAATGTTTACACATGCAGAATTCAAGAGAGGGGTCAGGCCATCTGAACCCTGCCCTCTTTGAATCTGCCACTGATACTTGAACGCCCAACTAGCCCTGTCTGCGTGTTTCCACGCCCTGGTCCTACATTTTTTGGTGCTGTTCCCATCAAACGAGTATCTGTGAGAGCTCCAGCCTAAAAAGCAGTCAAAATAGCCAAACCCACTTTTACCTCAAGAACCGCATTAAAACAAATTGGGCTCTTTGCAGAGCACTACTAAAGTAGTTAATTGGGACATGTACTCATGTGAATTTAAGATCAATCATTGGTTATTTCATCAAACCGTGCACACTTCATATGCAAACAGCAGCGTTTGTTTCTCAGAAACCGAATCAAGTAGGAAATATACTTTAAGCTGTGCATGAGCTATCTGCCAAACTTGCTTTTTTTCTTGAGATGACGTGTATAAAACAAAGAATGTTTATTTAGATATACAGAAGAAAGCCTAATATCTGTTAAAACATTCAATTATATGCACCAGACAACATTGTTAATGCCTTGCAATAGAGCAAACCAGCAGATATTTTGTAAGAACAGAAAAACGAAAGTATAGTCCTGAACAGAAAAACAAATTTTGTACTTCCCTACATGCACGAGCCACTGGTCATGAGGGTACGGGTAATGCCTTCTCATGCTCTGCATCCAAACGAGGCATTGCGGATCTCTAGCGAGTTTATATTCCTACCGCTAAGTGTGGAGCGATTGCAAACTTGTTATATCGCACTATTTTTGATAAGGCAGCACAGGATATAAGAGAGGACAGCAAACAGTAAGGGCATCAAGAGTTAGCCCGTCGTCGCCGTCTTGTTCATCTTGACACGAGGCTTTAAACGAACAACAGTGGCAGCGAGCCTCGCCGTGCAGAATGTCCCAAAAGGAATGTGTGCAACAAGTCAGTGTTAGTGCAAACAAGCAACAGCCAGCCTTTCCCATATTTCACTTAAAACTGAACAGCTGCCATAAAAACACCTTATCGTGCCAGAACATCCTCGTTCAGGGTGGTAACTTAAGCTGTATAACTTGGTTATTTCAGTGCTGGGTAGAGTCCATCTAAAAAGTACTTGAAGTAACATACAAAATAAATGAGAGGTCATGTACTTCAGGTAAAGTAGGGTAGTAAGTATGCCAGGTGCAATGTATCTGAAGTAAAATACTATAAATACAATGTACTTTTAAAGTAAGGTACAAGTACTTTTAGCGATCTTTCATGACGCCCTTTCATTTCACCTATAAAGCATTTTTTTATTTTTTTATTTTAATGCTGGTGTGTATTGTTTTTGGGATAATAATTGGGGGTGTGTCAGTCATTTTCGGAAATGGCGACAAATATTGGATAAAGTCAAGTGCCCACAGAGTAGTTTGTTTAGTCTCGCTGACAAAGTATTTAACGTAGTCGACTTATAAGGCACTTAATTATTTCTATCGATCTTATAGTTGCCATTACTTCACTCAAAGAAACGACCAGATAACGTCTCAAAAAGACGATACGCCTCTCTTTTAAAGAGGTCGGTGAACATTTATGCTCGACCTCAGAAGTTGTGTATAGTCTACAGGGAAAGCCAAGGACGTGAGGGCGTGGTACTTGAAAGAGCTTAATTTCACCGAGCGCAAGACGGCACTGCCCAGAACAACTTGCTCGTCCCTGTGCCTTTCGTGAACTCTGCACGTCTCCCCCCATCCTTTACCCTCTCGCCCCGACTTCAACATTTGACGCCACCTGTACTGGCTCGTGCTTTTTGGGGTTACAAACTAAGCGATGCATCGTCTGCTCACGTTTCTGATGAGAGTAGAATTTCCCAGTATCTCTTCAGAGTTCGGAAAGTGTCGTTTTGCGATACAAGCTTTTAACATGTGGGAATGAACTTTGAAGTTGGGAGGCATACTTTCCTCAAAAAGTACCAGAAAAAAGTACCTTTCAGTAAAGTACACACACTAAGAGAACATACTTCAAGTAAAGTACAAGTTTTCTAAACCTACTTAAAGTAGTATATTAAACACAATATACTTAAAGTACTTCCCAACACTGGGTTCCCTCAAATACTCCGCTTGAGTAAAATGCAGAAAGGCACCCATGTCGTGTTCGCATCAACGGTATCGCGCAAGGTACACAGCACATGAGATGCAAGGTACTCCTTTGGGATGGCTCACTGGTCGTGACTAACGTCGAAACCAGATTTATAAGATTAATATATTGCAGGCAGAATAGGACATAGAGCAGATCGGAGAATTAAGCAGCATGAGTGCAGTAGTATGTAACGCAATAATCTCGACCAACGTGGTAGAAATCTCCAGAGCTTGAAATAGGTCAAATAGTGTGACACAGTAAACATTTCCTTGCGACACATACCGTGACCTCCCTGCAAATTAGAAGAACCATAGCCAACAGTGCTAAAAATACCGCAAATAGCTAAAAGAAAAAAGGGGTGTCATTTGCAAGCGATTGATTCAAAATTAGTTGAGATGAGGTTTACTCGAAAAACTTCGCAGCACTCTTCACATTTTGGTAAAAATTACCAGGAGGTGGTTGCAATTTACTTTGTGGTCAACGTTCAAATTGCCTCGCTCATTCTAGGGTGATGTGAAAACATTTGGCTCTATTAGTTTCAAGAAACTGCCAGAAAGAAGCAGCTGCCGACATCAGAGAGTAGAGGACCTGATCAGTGCACACATTGCCTTTTTGGGGCACTCTGTACAAAGTAACCATTCAGAGGCTTCTGATTCAGCGGACTACATCACTGCGCTGCATGTAAAAGGCATTTGACATGAAGAAAGCACAGCAAAAGCTTTAACTTCTACAAACTTTCATATGCACACAGTAAAACGTTTAAGGTCAGCTTCATTGTGCAGTGGCTTGGCCAGGCGCGACGCGCGACAAGCCGTCACGCCTTTTCGGTGCCTGTCAATATGGCAGTGTTGGGAAATCCGAAAGACAGATACTGTAACTGACAGAGCTGCAGGCATTGTGGACTAAGTTAAGCAGTCCCAAAATTGTGCTCCATATCAACCTGGCATATTCTTCATGGCCCAACTTTTTTCCGGGGTGTTCCACATCCGTTTATACATAGCTTACGAGTAGATTCACTCGATTTGCATTAGGGTTTTCACAGTATCGGCAATAAAACTGTAAGAGTCGGTGCAACACGGAAACCGCTGCAAATTGAAAAAAATAAGAGGCCAGAACAAAACATTTTTGCCTAGCCGGTTAACTACGTACTACGGTCGAGACGATAATTATACACTACAGTCGAACCTCGTTGATACATTCCCAGTTTTTACGTTTTCTTGGCTTTTACGTTAACCGCCGGTCCCGCCAAGCTCCCGTAGGAAAAAATGTATTGATTTCCTGCTTATTATGTTTGTCCGTGTTTTTCAGTTGAAAAACCATTGACGCGTGACGCGTCTTGGTGCTGTTACACGACACCATACACCATACGCACCACGGTGTCGCAAGACCCGTTGAGGAGAGCTGCCCGAAGGAGCGTCCATGTACGTCAATGTACTGCCAGCAGTACCTATGCAGCTGTAGTTTCCACTGTGGTAGGGCAAAATAAAACTTCTCAAGATTCAGCTAGCCTATTTTTTCGTCGATACTTTAATTAATTAGAATCCATCGACGTTTTCAGACGTGATTTTCGAGTCTCGAGTCTATTTCACGTCTTACAACACAGTAAGTACAGAGAGGAATCGCTTGTCAAACGAAAATCCAAGATGTCAGTCTTCCGGATTTTTCGGATTGCTATATCCCAGACGAATGTGCTTGCCTCGTGGAGGAAAAAACATTCCTCTGGAAGAGGCGTGCCAGCAGTGAGCACACTAAAAGAAATGCTTCCGTTTCCCCTCGCTGAATTCGTGCGCGTGCCTACCCGCGCAGCATTGCTACCGCCTCATCCGCCGTGCACTGTCCAAAACCGCTTGGTTTCTTTCTTTTTTTTTTTTTTTTTCTTTCTTTTTTTTCTTGTGCGATTGCCAAGTTTGCTGAAGTAACTCTCCTCCTTTTGCTTCGCACCCTTGCTTGCCTGGGACCCTCCACCCTGTGGTAAACTTTGCCTTGGGGCCTTGAACGTTTCCAGAACCGCCATTTATCTCTCCATTTCTCGCAGTGCTCACGCATTTTCACGCTGCGCGCCACAGTTGCACATCGGTCAATGGTTTTGGTTGTGGTTCGTTTGGGTTTCCAGGAGAAGTGGACATTTTCTGGATGGTTGATCGCAACCATCCGAACATTGCAAGGGACCTCGAAATTGCACCGTCAACTCTGAACGTCTTTGCGAAATTAAAAAAACATTGAGACGCAAGCTTCTGCGTTCCACCCGGGATCCAAGCAAGCTCAGACGGTGAAGCACGGCGAGTTGGAACAGGCTCTGCTATTACGGTTTAAACGAGCCCGTACATCTCGTGTCAACATCGATGGAAGTGTCCTGCAAGGGAAGGCGCAAGATATCGCAGAACTTTTCGATATCATGAACTTTGCGTGTTCCAATGGGTGGATCTACTGCTCAAGAAGCGTCACCGAATTTCGTACCGCGCAGTAAGCGATGAAATATGAGTTTGTGTCGAAAGGTTTCTTCGCTGCCTTCGAATGTCGCCGACTACTCCCCCCTGGACGTTTTGTACGCCGACGAGGCTGGCCTTTTTTTTTTAATGTAGAGTCTTCAAAGTCACTGAGCCTCGAGGGTGAAACTTATCATGGAAAAAAAGTAGCAAGGCGTGTCTTACCGTACTCCCGTGCTACAACGAGGACGGATCAGAGAAAATGAAGCCGTGCGTCGTCGGAAAGTTGCGCGGCCCGCGATGTTTAAAAAACATCCGCAGGTCGCCTCGTTGCTACCGACGGAACGCTCGCGTGTGGATGACCTCCGCTCTTTTCTATAGCTTCCTTTGGTACTTGGACTCGCAAATGGGGTTGCAAAACGAAAAGGTCCTCCTGCTCGTCGACAACTGCCCCGCACACTGAAAGAACTTTTCGTTCCTAAGGAATGTCGGGGTGCAGTAGCTTCCTCCTAAAACGACGAGCCACGTGCAGCGGCTCGACGCAGGAATAGAAAAAAAACGTCAACACTTCTATTGGATGTGAATTGTTTGGTGATCACTTGCTACGGTAGAACGAGGCGAGACTCCGACCAAGCTGGATGCGATGCACTTCCTCGCAACAGTGTGGGAAACTGTCTTGACCGCCACTGTTTAGCATTGCTTCCGCAAGTGCGGGTTCGAACGCGCAGGGCCAGGACGAGCACTAGCCGTGGGCAACACCAATGAAGATTCTGAAGCTGAATGAAGACGCGATGAAGGAAGTGAGAGCCTCCCTTGCCTACTCCGAGTACCTGTCAATCAACGAGAACTTCGCCACCTCTGAACCGATGAACATGTTGGATATCGTCGACAAGCTCACCGCAGCCGGCAATGCTGGAAGCGATGAGGACGTCGAGGACGCAGTTGCCGGTCACGCAACACCTACATTCGCGGACGCACTCGGGGCATTGGATACCCTGCGCAGGTATGCGAGTGTTCACGGCTGCGCGGACAGTGAGAAAGAGATTACGGCAGCTGGAAAAGGAACTCTTACCGTCAAGCAGCCGCTCGAAGTGCCAGGCAGAGATTATGGTACAAGCGTTTTTTAAGCCCATTAGAGTTCACACACCTGCAAAAGTTTGCGTGAAATCAAATTGTGTTATGACAGTTGCTTTTTGTCTCGTCTCTAGCCCCCCAAGGGCCTTTTCGTTTTTGACTTTTTCCCAGATTGTTTTTTTTCTGCAATCCTCTGAGAAACGTATCAACGAGGCTCTACTGCATATGGAATGCAGAAGCTGCCTATTCTGTCGGAACCAGTGTCAAAAACGGCCCGCGCAGCTTTATTATGCTGGGGAGCCTTATTTGTACAGGCCCAGTAAAACCAATATTACCAAATCAAATGTTAAGACAACATTTAAACGTTCAAAGCAAGACACTGCAACTAGACACGCATCAAATTGCTCCTTCACGTTTTATGGCTCGCTTTATGCAAAGCTACCCGTAAAGTATGCAAAATCAATCCTTCAGAGACGCCTGGGTGCTAGTGGTCTGAATCGAATAGTGCAGCGTCATCTACACCGTTTGCAGAGTACAAGGGTACAAGGCGCACAGCAGCTAGCACAAAAGAGCAATTGCCAGTTTTCCTAATTTTTTTTTTTCCTAGTATCAGAGGGTTGTCGTCAATGCTCTTAGCAAGGTGGAACGCGTCTCTCCAAAGCACCTAACTAATCGGTAAGTTTTGGTGCTTGTCGATAACTTGCCTGATAAAAATGCGAAAAACTACCGACATTGAGTTATTGTTACCTGTTACCGTGTGCAGCAGGGGCTACGAATAACAAGCGTGGTATCACTCGATTCCAATAACTGCCCAGGATACACACCCGACAATTGTCAGCGGACAGGCTGCAACATAACCTCAAGTTTCAGCACATCAAAACCTCAACAAAAATGTCAAAAAAAAAATAAAAGACAGATGCACGGAACTACGCACGAAAAATTTATCTGCTTAAAATCGCTGAGTGCCACGCCTACCCGGGTGCTACACTACATTTCACATCGAAGTTTTGGGCTTGTACGAGCCAGTGTCAACAGACACGAGGGCACGGTGCATCGCGCCTGCTTTGTCAGATGACGGGCAAGTCGAAGCTAGGGGATCGAAAAGAAGCTTGAAACGGCGGCGATTCGTCGCCGTTCCAGACGCAACTGTCACAAACGAGGCTGACGACAATGTTCCGGCACGCAACGCGGCCGGCCGTATTTGGCAGAACTCATGGCCTCGTTTTATAAAGGCTATGGGCCTTTTTCGGGAAACAGCGTTTGGATTGCCACCTAAGGTCACCTAAGGTCCATTGGGGTTCGTCAACCCCAACAAATTTCTCAAAATTTTGGGACTTTTACGAATCGGACGAGCTTCGAGCACGGACGCGGGAGAACCGAGCGCTTCGTCCTGGCACCCTCTTCCCATCGGAGACCACGGTGATGGCGCCAACTTCTGATCTCTATCTAGAGAGAAATTGCAACGGCCCAAGCTTTCACCTGCGACTTGACTAGATGCCGAAATATCACTCGATTCGCACGGTTCTCGCCGTCCAACGCCTCCAATCGCGCTCCACTGAACTAGCGTGTCGCAGAACGTGATTTGTGCCTGTACCAACATCTGTAGATCTCAATAATGAAAAAAGAAAGGCCTAATCAGTCCAATCTCTTAGACACTGGTAGCACAAACAGCCAAGGACGACGACCAAGTTTCTGACCGGTCGTCGGGTCGTCTTGTTGCAGCCAGTAGGACGCTGCAAATGTTTCTCCGAAGACTACCACATGCAACTCGTTTGTACGCGGCGTAAGAGAAAGTGACGGGCCACACCGAGATTCGATTAAAGCGTCGGCAGCTAAGGAGGAAAACCAAGGAAGTAGCACAGACACACGTACGCAGTCGTTTCACGTCTTGCCGAGGCCTTCTGCAGACAGCAGAGGAACGATGTGCTCAGCAGCCGATGGAGCCGCGGCGCAGATGGCTTCATCGTAACTGGGCGGTGCGTCCTGTTGGGAAGAAAACAGACAAATCTAGACGCTTGCGATCTAATGCTATTTTTGTAAAGTACAGGCATTAAAAGCTCCTGTTCCCACCGCTTATAGCTAAGAGGTTCCGTGTTTTCGGAGCAGTCAGTAGCATACGTTGTAGGGCCAACGCTGAGTTGCTCCTGTGTCGGAGACATTGTTACTGCTTGTTTGGCTTTACTTCTTCAGGCAATGCCTACAGGTGGTACTGGCATGCGTGCTATGCCAAAACTAGAACAGTAAGCTGCATTTAGAGTAACGGCCGACGAAAATTTGCGTTTAGACCTAGCAACTATGGGGAACAGGACTTCTAGCAATAGATGTTTTAAACCTCATAGAAGTGATTAAATAATTTTATTAATTTGTATCGATACAAAAATACTAGGTACGTGTGAATAGCGGATTTCGGGTTCAAAGCGAATAGTAGTTTTGGCCAAACATTTTCTAATCAAATACCAAAAAGGTTTTCCAAAGCCTTTTACTACTGCCCCATGCTTAAAACGAAAACCAAGCTGATTCGAGCAACCCAATGAAACGGCGCCAAAAGTGCATTGTCAGAGAGCGCGCTGCCTTCGGAGGTTTGCTATCACGTTTACATCGGCGCTTGGGCTTTCACATTCAAGTCATCCTAGGAATAACATAAGGAACCCTGTGAATTTTTTTTTATGCGATTGAATATCGAATAACGTGTTATTTGAAAATTCGAATATTTCCACAATCCTATCAAATACAAATTCGAATAGAAAATCGAGCGTGAATCATTCAATTAAAATTCAATTAAAGAATATTCAATTAATTCACATTCAATTCAAGAATATGTGAAATCAACTTGAGTATGAAATCAAATGTAACCACACTCTATTTGCATTCAATTGCAAATATTAATAAAATAGATTAACACTGGACTGAACTCGAACACATTCCACTGACACTCGATTCAATCTCACAACTCGCAACACTGGTATACGACGCTTAAACGCTCGGGGTTCTTTGTTGCACGTCAGCCGAAAAGCATACTCACGTCTTCTTGGGCTGGCTGGTACGGCGGGGGTGGCGACGTGTCCCCCAGAGGCTGCTGCGGGACCACGACACGCAAAGAGGGAAGCCGCGGGGGCGGAGGCAGCGTCGTCCCCACCCGAGACGACGACGACAGCTGGGGCTGCGCCACTGCACGACACAACGAGCAAAAACAACGACACCTCAAGGCCCCCTCGCACGCTTGCATTTGCTTAGGACCCAGATCTCAAGACCCCTTACGACGAGACGACGTGCCGACACTCCGGCGCCATTTGTGAGTCGACCCCGGAACTGCATTTCACTAGAGCGAAGGTTTTGCGGAATTTCCGAGATCAAATGTATGTACCATTGCGAGAGATGGTCGTGTATAGTGTCGTAAAAAGGTTTTGTAAAAAGAAAGAAAAAACGACAGGCAAAGAAGGGGGAAACCTACAGAAACTTCAAGTGTTCTTCGCAGCTACCTGACAGGTGACTTTGACCTGTTCTCTCATCGTAGGAGATTTTAAGTGGTTTTAAAGGGGCACTAAAAGGAAAAAAAGGAAAAACATTCTTTTGAACACTTTGATTGGGACATGCATGTCTAAACATAAAGTTATTGCGAAAAAAAAATTTTTAAGAGCAATATTAATGGCCAGGATTTATTTTAAATTCTGCAAACAAAGTCCATGACGCCACAGAATGGTCATTCACTCTTTCCACCTCAACGAGATGGTCATACACTCTCCACCTCAACGTGATGGCAAAGCCGACCTACCTCTCCTCCACACACCCGAAATGCCGAGAGAAAACAAGTGAAAAGGAGGTGGCTGCCGACTAAATCACGTCTCTCGCCATCAATATTGCTCTAAAAATTGTTTTTTTCGCGTAAAAATTTTTTTTTTTTTTTTGACAAACGTGTTTTAAGTAGTTTGTTTAAAAAGAAATTTTTTTTCTTTTCAGTGGCCCTTTAAGGTACGCGGTTGTAGGCGGTGGTAGGTCGGCAACTAGCCTTTAGGACAATATTCTTCCGGCAAAGACAGTAAAATCTGGCTCACGCAAGCGTCTCCGCACAGAGATAATGCGAAGTAAGTGGTACATCAGCACTAATGTCAGTGCCGAGTCGGTGCTGCATTGTATCAAGAAAAGGTGGGGTCACATGCAGCCGAGCGCTGATAAGGCTCCGGTATAGTGCCCAGTCAGCACTGCGACTCTAGCGCTGCGCCGTACGTGTGAACAAGCCTTTACAGCCACAATCTCATCACATTCGACCGCTGCAATGAATGACAAGCGAAAAGTAAAGCTCTTGATGTTCCGAATTCAGTTTATATGAGGATACAATAAATCGAGATTTCGTTTGCTGCCTTGAAACAGCCAAACATCAATACCTATTCGCACAGTGGTTCTCAAATGGGGGTCCTTGAAGGTCTTCCTGGGACGCTTGAAGCCCTCGGACAACCAGCCGAGCCAAGCTATAAAACTTCTTTTATTACCCTATTGATGCTGGCCATCCCACAAAGCTAAATAGACCAAACCGTGAGTTCCGAGTGAATAGGATTGCTTTCTCTCAGTTTCAAAACTTCAAAGTTGGTTTGCACTTATTTAGATTTAGCTTTGTTATTTATTCCTCTGCCATTATAATCGTCCAATACCATCATCCATCCCCGGGTGGATAAGGCCCCCCCATCACATCTGTCAAACTGAGAGACGTTCAGCGGTTGAGAACTACTGCTCTAGCGGACAAGAGGGGGAAAGAAACTACAGCTTTATGACACAAGAAATGCAGTCTTCCTCAATTGGTGGCTTGGAACTTTTCTGGCCAAGAATATCTGATAAAAATTGTATTGCCGCGAACAGTGTGCACATCAATATCATGTCTAGTGCTTACGGATTAGATAGCACAAAAAATGCTGTCTAGACAATCAAATAGTATCTAGCAAAGTAAAAACAAAATACATGTTTGGTAGTTACGTGCGACACCAACAAAGGGCATCTGGCATGCCCCAGTGGACGACTGAGGAATAGTTTATGGTGTAAACCAGAAGGCACAGTGACAGCTAGCACTCAAAGGTAACTCTTCCTCGCGCAAGTTTAAAGGGTGAGCGTGTGGGTGACTCACCCTGAGTGATGGTGCTCGGGTGGAAGGTGACTCCACGCCAGAGGGGCACGATTCTGCGCTGCTGAAGCCTGCTCACCTCGTGCACGCTCCGATGGATCGGCGGCGACTTGGCCTTGCGCCTGCGCAGAGCGAGCGCCGCGGAGACACGAGTTTGCTGGGTGCAACACGGAAAGAGGGATTTCGTTACAACTCTCACGGCATACCGCTCGAGTTAAATGGATCACTGGCGCCTTAAAGAGACAACATAAACAGGTTTCATAACATATCGAGTTAGGAGTTAGTACAGAGGCAACCAAAGGTGGTGCATTTTGGGCATAGAGTTTTCCAAGAATGAACTAATCTGAGTAAAGAGTAAAAAATTAACAGCTTGAAATTGCTACCTATAGCGGTTGTCAGCAAACGAAGGACGTCTGGGTGGCGATACACACGAAAGGTGGAGGCAGCTGTAGCAACAATCAAGTGAACCGGGCAAACTCAACTTAATTATTTTGCTGCAAGTTGTTCATCACCGAGGGTTGTTCGATTAAATAAATCTTCCGCAGTGATCCCATTCAGTTTCAAGGACACTGTTGCTGATTTTTGGATCTCTCTATTCCATCGAATTACTGCTAATACATACATTTTTTGGCCATCCCATTGACTTTGCTTTAACGAGGGTTTAGTGTACTGGTGTTGGTAATAAAAGCGCCAGTTCCTTTACAGACTTAAAAGGTAACTAAGATACCTTAGTCCTCCAACTAATATGGTACTCGTACACCACGAGTCGATATAGGTGCGAGCCAATGAACCAAGTTGACCGCGACCGCGGTACAGTTTTAACCGTAGCCATTCAGCCACAGAAAGTAACTGAGGAGCTAGCACTCGAGCATTTGGAGCTGGTTGGTTTCACCTTAAGATAGAACGCAAAAGATGCTACGAGCCATCGAAGCCTATCCGGCGCCGTCCGAGTGTCACGCCACCTTTGGGAAGGGTGCAGCAACGCGTGGGATGTGGAGTCGCGCAATGAATTCACAGCACGGAACTGGCTGGGAAGGGTCCTAGTAACCCCTGCAGTCTATTCTAAGATAAAGCGGAGTATAGCATTCTTTTTACCAAACCTTTCACGTCTGTTTTGGAACGAGCACCATCGAGGAAGAGAGAGAAAACGGGCACGCACTGGTATCCAAAATACGCCAGGATGATGACGATGACCAGAAGTGGAACGGGGGAGACCTTCAGGAAGGTGATGGTGCCTCTGTCTTCAAAGAGGAACGGATCTAAGAAAAAAACAGATCAAAGAGGACAGTAAGAAAGACAAAAAAGGTGGGTACGACAGGATCTTAGATACTGAGATCATAGCAGTTTTAAGTGATGCCAGAAGAGTCGGAAACCTTTACCAAAAAACAGAACTTTCTGCACGGCGCGTAAATTTGGTCGCTGAAGCTTTATATTGCCGCTATATGTTGACCAAAAGATGGAGCAAAGCACCGTCTTGTGCTTGGATGTGGTCTCAGTCAAAAAGGAGAGCTTCCTTTTAAGGTTTCTTTTATATATACCATACCGTGCCTAGACTAATTATAGCGGTAAATTGTATAAACAAGTTAGTCTTGCCGTGCACCTTAAACTATCAGTTTTTCTAAATTCCTGTTGCGGATTTTTTTAAATTTCCGAGCAGGCAACACTGCCTGCGAGCTCACCTCTGATGCACTGCCAGCGTGAGAAGAGCAGCTCCGCCTTGTACCCGGGCAGCCGGCAGTCGCAAATGCCCCAGGGCGTGCAGAAGAACGCTTGGGAGCTGCAGGGCCTCTCTGCATTGCACTGGGGCTTGGCAGTGGTGCCTGCGCACAGGGGCAAAAGCTTCGTCGCACGTTGCGCAACAGAACACCATTGCAGTATTGCTCGGTAATGGTAGACCCTTTTCAAAAGTTCATCAAACAACACAGAAGGCCACCATGCCGATGCAGTCCTTGTGTCCGATGCAGGTTCGAGGTATGAGCCCAAACAATGGCAGATTTGAATAATTGACACGACAGCCACTATATTGTGCACACTTTTCAAGAGGGTCTAATGAAAATGTGCAAAGAGTCCGTCTTTAAAGAGCCTCTTCCATGAGGCATTCATGCATGCAGAGATTTGTAGTTTTTTACGGTAATTTGCAGCTGTATCTTTGCAAGAAGACAAGGTTAATAAACAGGCAAGCTAGTTAACGTTACACATGTTTCTGACCGGAGACAACGACAAGGGACGAACGCACACGTCTCGAACAGAGCTGAAAATATTTTATTCGCACATTGTGCCTTTATATGCCACCCCTCGCACAACCTCCACCAAGTTTGCACACATGTACACACAACACAGCCAATGGTACACCCCCCATACTACCCCACCCCCTCACATGACCTTCACCAAGCTTGCACACATTCCCACACCCATCGCATGTTCTCCATATCGTGCCCAATGGCACATGATTCGGACTTCTCCGACAAAACCGTATACAAAAACAAAACAAAAAGGACGTTTTACACAATTAATGAAAAAACAGTGAGCGTGCAGGTAAGCTGGTGGTAGTTAATCATGATGTTAGAAACCCGGCCAAGACTGTGGTGAAGGCAAAATAGGAAATTTTTAAGTTGAAGAAAAAAGGCACAGGAGAAGACGTCTCAACATTTTTTTAGACGTCCTCTCCTGTGCCTTTTTTTCTTCAACTTAAAAGATTTCTATTTTTCCTTCACCACAGTATCGGGTTTTAAACGTCACAATTTATACAATGTTATTTTTCCCCTTATTCCACCCTCAAAAAGAAAAAACATCTGCGACACCGCGTCCAGTGCAACTGAAGGCTGTCTAATACAATTTCCCACAGTGCCAATCCTAATTGTTTATTTCAAAACTCTTTTCAAACAATCTTTTTGTTTACTCAATACAATAGTGTCCTTCCAGACTGGCAAACAATTATTGCACTCTTCTACATACCTTGCAATGCAACAAACTCTGAAACTGCAAGGCACATAGAGAGGAGCAATAGCTGTTTGCCGGTCTGAGAGGACACTGTTGTGTCAAGTAAAGAAAAGAAAAAAATTGTACAACAATAGTTTTAAAAGAAACAATTAGGACTGGCTCTGCGGAAAATTGTATTAGCCAGTCTTCAATCATCACACTGGATGCGGCGTCGCGGAGGTTTTTACTTTTGTAAGGGGAAGAAACAACATAGAGGGAAAAAAAAACATGGTATAAAACTTTTTTTTATACTGTCTTGTTAGAGAGGATATGAAGGGCGTGCGATGGATGTTTGAATGTTTGCAAACTTGGTGAAGGTCGTGTTAGGGGTGGCCAAAACAAAAACACGTGTGAATAAAATTTGTCGAGCTGCGTTCGAGACGTGTGTGGTTGTTCCTGGTCACTTTTTGTCGTCCGTCGCCTCCGGTTAGAATCGTATGCATCCTTCACCATTACTCTATTGGCAGCAGCCAGAGAAAAGGTGCTGTTATTTGTATTTACAAATATGCATGTAGCACGTGTTTTTCCTGCCTTCGCATTCAAACAGAATGCTGGCGGTATAAACAAACAAATAAGTAAATAAATAAATTAATAACCTGGTGCTTTGTACTAAAAAAGTATTTCTGCGAGGAGTATCACTAACCTGAGAAGCATTTGAGGCCCATGGGCGTTGGGGCCTCGTGACTGCCCGGCTTGCAGCGGCAAATGCCACCGTCACATCGTGATCGGATGTCCAGTCTCGAACATTCCGACGTCAAGCTGCAGGTCTGGTTCAGCCGACGTCCTGCAAAGTCGCAGGGCAAAGCAGGGGGCCACTCATCCACCATGCGATTCGCCATCCGTGACAAGACCATTTGATCTCTCGAACGCGACTACTAGCACAGTTCAAAAATGGTCAAACAGAATTGGATTTTGTGTGGAAAGGCTACAGGGAAAGGGAGGCACATGTGACCGTTGTGCCATTTTCATAAATGGGTGGTCACCTCTTTTAAAGTGAACAAACGCTACTGCTGTTCATTACTTGGGGGAAACGTAGCTTAAAGGGGCGATGCAACAATTTTTGTACTTGGCGCAAATAGCACTTATAACTAGGGTTCCGCGTTTTCGGTTTTTATTTTTTCAAAATTCGGCGTACTTTTTTCGGTGTTTATTTTAAAATTCAATTTTCGGTTTTTTTCGGCATATATTTATTCCAAAAACAGTTTACCGGTTTTTTTCGGTGAATATAAAAGAAGCACCATTGGACAACGGATCAGATGATCCTTGTAGCTGTGATATTTGCAATCACTCAAAGATTAACGACACATATACATACGTGGTCCTCGCTACAACTTCCGCCAGGACACATCTCAAAATCGCGGAATTCGCGGGCATAACTTCTTCAGCGCACTTATTTTTCCTTCCCATTCTGACGACGTCACCGTCTGAGGTGATGACCGTACAAAAACCAGCGGAATGTCCAAAAAAAAAAAAAATCTATCGTGTTTATGTTTTTAACAAAAGGGAAGTTTGAGAGAGCGTGTTAAGAAAGGTATTGACGGCTTTCCTTGATGTCCTCTGAAGTGCATGAAGCGAAAAACCTTATACTAGCCCACATCCCAACTTTTTTTTTTTTTTTTTTCGGGATTGGAATTTGACATATTAAGCCCGATCACAGAGAAGACAAAGATGTCCCGTGAAGGCCAATCCAAGACCTCTTTTGTTGCATGTTGAACCTTCGAAGAGGGCAATCACGAAGACGTCACGTAATGTCGAACCTCGCAAAGTTCTCTCCCTCTCTCCCTCCCCCACCCACCTCAACGCGGCCCTAAAACACTGATCTTTTTCGGTTAAAACCGAATTCTAGAACACGGATTGGACATACTTTTATCGGTTTTTATCGGTTTAAACCGAAAACGCCGAACCTACAGAGTGATCTTTTTCGGTTAAAACCGAATTTCCGAAAATGAATTCGGCATACTTTTATCGGTGTTTATCGGTTTAAACCGAAAACTCCGAACCCTACTTATAACGAATGTCTTGATATTATTGACCTATGAAACACGCATTCGTTTTTAACTACACCCAATGAAAGTCGCAGAAAATGTTTCTAAAAAAGCGAGTAGCGTTCACCCTCTGAACTTACAGCCAGAACAAGAGGTCACGTGATCTGGAGCATATTATACGCCGCCAATGTTGATCATAGCCACGCGCTGGGATTGGCAAAGCACAGGACACGCGCCAAGTTCCAGACATTATGGTTGGGCTATTGTTGTCATTGCTGCGACTGGACATGGGCCACTACCTGAATGCCCGTCCAGCTATTGATTATCACGAGCCCGAATCGAGTGCTCACTCAATGCTTAGGTCCAATTTATGAGCCGCATCAGAATATCGGCACTGGGCGGTACTTTGACCGCCCAGCTACGTCATCAAGTTTTGCAAAGGAGGGACTGAACAAAAATGCTCGCTTGTGTCCTTGCAATTATATTGCAACAAAGGAGTTTCTTGGTCAGTGGCGTTGCGTGCGAGTATACTTGGATTCCACTAGTGTCAGTAAACTCGTGCACAGCGAAAAACGTTCTAAGCGAATATCGTTGACAGCCTCTTTAAGCAAATACCGTAAAATTTCGTAAGGGAGCCCACCCAAAATGAAGAGATAAATGGGGAAAAATATGAGACAGCAAAACTTTATCAAAAATTCATGATAAACACAAGGGGCACTGCTGCAAACCACGTGACATGGGAACTGATACCGCAGATCGCGGACAAGGCAAATGAGCGTTTCACAATGTGATGAACAGGCAGGAATTTGCTATGAATTTCTGCACCCCGGGAAAGGATACCACAGACTGCAAATGCAGCAGATTCGCGTTTAAAGGTGCTATAAACAGGTGGAGACTGGCTAAACTTGAGTGCCTTGGGAACCGATAGCGAGCGCGCAGATCATGGATAAAAAACGCTGGAACTTGCTACAAACTCTTATGTCATGGAAGCCGATATTGCACGCACAGATCGTAGACAAAAAAGCAGGAACGCACTGCGAACCCGCTTGTCACACATACCAATATTGCAGATCGCGCGGTTGATCTGCTGGACATCACATGATGTCCAACGGAAATCAGGGGGTGGGCCATGTTTCGGAATTTTTATGTCAAGAAGATTTAGGCATAAAAACGGTATGGGCGATCTCTTGGGGGAGGGTGCCCTGAAGGGGATTTTAACGCAGTTAACTACATCATGGCAAATTGATGACATAGCTTGTTGTTCGGTTGCTTTGACTCCTACAGTAGTAAGCACCAGTCTTAATTTGCTTATCAAGGCAGATTCACGCACTTGTATTTGAGAGTGACCCCGCACATTGTGAGTGCAGGTGACCACTTATAACACTGGGGCCATCTGTCAGCAGCCCTGGAACTTGCATATAACTACACTGAAGGTTTTGCAGTATTTGTGAGATCAAATCAATGCACTATCTATACAAAACGGTAGCCTATACCATTATCAAATGCATTTAAAGCCCACTGTGAAAAAATAAAAAATTAGAAAATATATGCAGATTAAAAGTGTTCTGGCTATTCAACAGATGATGCCATTGTGTTTGCTCATAGTAAGCATTGATAAGTGTTTGCAATGCCATGTTTTAAGTGAAAATCTGTGATCCACACTTCATGGAGCTTTAATCAAGCTGGAAAAGCACCTTACTTTGAAGCCCGAAGGACTGAAAGAACTCGGGTGCCCAAGAAATTTCATGGGGATTCTAGGAGGAACTCGGCTTGAAAACTTCCAAATTTAGCAAGTTTTATATACGTAAAAACAGGGGACGGGACAACACATGAAAGATGTGTTGTCCCGTCCCCTGTTTTTACGTATATAACTCTTTCTAAACCTACATCATTACCAACGCGCTCACTAAGAAGTTTAGCAAGTTTGCTTACTAAATTCCCTAAACAGGAACTTAGTAAGCATTCAAATTCCTTAAATCCCTATTCTGTTATGAGTACTGGATTTCAGAAAAGCAAAAAGCACAGAGATAGAGAAACCACAACTTTAGTCGGTGACAGGTCAAGAACAAACACCTCCAAGAGCTCAGGGCAAGGAAAAGGAAGGCTGGGGAGGAGGAAGCAGATGGAACACTGGAGAGGAGAGAAAAAAATATCCCCCTCTCTCTGGCATTCCGTCTGTTTCCTCCTCCCCAGCCTTCCTTTCCCTCGCCCTGGGTTCTCGAACTGTCACCAACTATAGACCGTTCCATTAGGGTCATAGCAGAGAGGGTAAAAAGAGAAAAAAAATGCCCTCCCCCTCTTGCCCGCATGTCGTCTGCTCCGCCGAGTGGGCAGCAACTAGCATCCGGCTGGCGTACAAACTCTGTTTAAAATCGCGTCATTTTGGGAATTTCAAGCGCAGATGCGCAGATTTTGGTATGCCAGTTATTGTGTATTGCTATGCTAGATAAAAAAGACTAACAGAGTCCAATTGCGCTGTTATCTGCGTGCAAATAAAAAAATATAGGGAGAAATGTGTCAGACTGGCCGGTCTCTCCGGCGAAAAGTGAATCCGGTGGCTGTACCTTTTTTATTATACAAAGTTCGTACTGGTGTAGGCCTTTAGCGACCATGAGTGGATGTCTGAAATAATAAATAAAAACGTGCTCTCCTGCTGTAATACACGCAGTAGTTGAGGGTAGTACTGATGGCTGACTCAACTGCTATTTAAGTAACGGAAAAAAGATATGTCAGTTGATCATTTACCATAAGTAGAACAACAGAGAGCTCTAGGCTGATTTTAAAGTAGCCATAACTATTCTGAGAACGCGAACCACTTCACAATGGCAGCCACGAGCGAGAGTTTGATGTTCCGTACAGCCCACCGATACAGCCCAAAGATGGAGAATGGCAACCTCCCGTTTTGTCGTCTGCTAGCGGAGTCGGGCGCGTGCCGTCTCTCTCGTTTTACCCTGCCGAACCCGCTGAATTTCCCGGATGTATGGAGAGGGCGCTGCTGTCGAACAAAATGGTGCCGCCCAGAGAGTGCTAAATGGAATGGTCTATACATGGTGTTCCAGGCTAAACAAACAAGTAATGGCAGAACTTTCTGTGGCTGAGATAACTTCTAGTTGACTAGCATCTTGTGTATGTTTCAACGAACAAGAATGAACAGACAGAGCGTCTTTTGAAGTTTTTCTAGGTGGAAAATCAAAAAAGGTTTGTCGAAAACCGGACATAAGATAGATAAGTGTCTGTTTCTGGACCATACAGCACCAAGAAAAAGAACCACATCTCGTTTTATTCGGCCTCCATGGCGAAAGTTACGTGGCCCTACCCGACGGCCAAGTGAAAACTTGTGTACACATGAGAAAATCAATGAAGTTAGATGCTTACAGATCAACTGAGGCATGTACCGTAATTTCCGGTGTATTAAGTCGTGGTTGTTTTCAAATATCTTTCTTGGTGCACCTTATACAACGATGCGACTTATACGTAGGGGTGTCGCGAACTGGCTGAGGTTCGAGTTCAACCAGGTTCGACTTTTTCTAACTTTTAATGGAAAGTTCGACGAGCCTTGTATTGAGGTTCGACTCGTGTACGCATCCGCGACAGGCTGGCCAGTTGGCTTGGGATTGAATAGCGATGGCTAAGGAATGAATTAAGGGCAGTGCTGATAGGTTATTTCAGTTAAAACAGTACAAAAAATTAAGTTATTAACTACTTCAGTGATTAGAATTAGTTTCTTTTAATTGCAGCTGTTCACAAAATTAAAATAACCTTTTGCATGAAAAAAAAGTCTCAAAACCTAGACATGCTT